AAAAAAAAAAGAACTAAATACATTCAAATCCTCATTATTTACAAACATTCCAAATCTGTGAATTCACCTACTCACTAAAATTTATTTGTAACCCCAAAGTCAATGCTTGAAGCATTTTCAGGGTCACTGGTGAGTACATGAGCAGAGCAACAAACAATCTGAATTGTCTGACCCATGTCCCAGCTGAAGCTGAACAAAGCAATGCTTTGCCTGTTATGTCAGCTCTCATATTTAGAAACAAGTGTCCTTTTGAGAGTCTATTTAGTTCCACATTTTTTGTGTTTTTGTACATTTGTTGGTGATTTTGTTGTTTAAAATAGCTCCCAATCATAGTGCTGTTTAGTGTTCCTAAAAGCAAGAAGGTTGTGATGTGCCTTAGGAAGAAAATATGTTAGTGAAGCTTCACTGAGGCATGAGTTACAGCTCTGTTGGTCATGAATTCAATGTTAATGACATGACTATATATTAAATAATTTATCTTTAAATTATGTACTGACAGGCTGACAAAAATGTGACCAGAGGCTTGGCAAAACCACCCACATATTTTCCTTATAAGCAATGGTTCAGTATTTGCTAATTCAGTGATTGGGGTGACTCTGTAGAACAGAACTACTACAAATAACAAGAAGCAAATGTACTATGTTAGCAACCCAAAAATCAAACAACAGTTTTAGAACTCTGAAACATTTCTCATGAATACATTTTCCAAAAGGAGACAATTCAAGACTTTTATCTCTACCATCATGGTGGACTTTTTTCTTCCTAAAAGTCAAAGACCGTATAAAGTCATACTCTATTTGGCCATTTTCCTTACATTGATAGCTAATGCGCAGAGCTGATACTGTTCTAATGTGATGATTTCATGATAACAAGGTTCTTGTGCCAGCTTCACAATAGCACTCCCAGCAGCAAGTCTCAGACGTGACATATCTGGTTTACTAAAAAATAAGCAAGCAAGAAAGAAAGTTAGAGTTCTAAATGTTTACACAAAAACATTCCTATTTGCTATACCTAATTTTGTAAAAATTTCTGTGGCCAAAAAAAGGATGGAACACAATTTAGTGATAATGAACACCCTATTATGTTTACTTAACCTTGGAAAATGGTGTCTAATACTACAAAACTCTTCTCTACACTAAAGTCATTTAATTCCCTCATCCTACACAAAACAGCTTTTAGCCAAGCTTAGAACAATCTATTTGTATGTTTAGTTACTGGGTCTAAAGTCTTCCACTATGGATTTTTTATGGATATGTGTTTACTTACAGATTAGGTACAAAAATGTCCTAACTTGTTAATCAAGTCAACTAAAACTAATGTGCTAAGTACAAAAGAAGAATGAAATCAGGTGTAGTGGAAAACATCACAATTTTTAGTTAGGATTCAACTTTTCAAATATTACCAAGAAGCTCCTTTTAAATTTAAGAAAACTTCTGCTTAATGGGACACACCTCAAAGATTAGTAAACTCTTAATAAATACATCTAAACAATCCTTCCTTATATAGTGATATATTAGATAAATTACAGGGATTTCAGACTGAAAAGGAGGGAAAGTTGTAACTTCTTAACTAGTACCCCCTATGTTCTTCCACAGTAAAAGATTCAATATTCATAAAACAAGTATGTGTCTACCGTATATACAGCAAGCACTGAGAGTGACATAAAAGACACACTCTTGGTCTTCTAAAATCTAATGATTGAATTGATTTAAGAACCCCCCCTTAACTTTTTTTTTTTTTTAAAGATTTTATTTACTTATTTGACAGAGAGAGACACAGTGAGAGAGGGAACACAAGCAGGGGGAGTGGCAGAGGGAGAAGCAGGCTTCCCTCAGAGCAGGGAGCCCAACGCGGGGCTCGATCCCAGGATGCTGGGATTATGACCTGAGCCGAAGGCAGACGGTTAACAACTGAGCCACCCAGGCACCCCAACCCCCACTTAACTTTCTAAGGATCATGTAAAAATACTGACTGAATGCATGCCAACATTTATAAGGTTCTGGAGTTACATGTCCCAGAGGTGCTATTCAGTGCATCAACAGCAATATTCCAAGTGGTTATTATATCAACCACCTCTAAAGGAAAGTCTGTTTTTCTTACTGGAGCTTATTTTGTATAAAGATAAATAATTAAATTAAATATTTTACAACTAAGTTTTTGAAGACTGAATTTCTATATAAAGACTTGTTTTAAAAGTGAACTAATGTAATTCACATATATTTGCAGAATTCAAATACACATTTGATTTCATTAAAGAATAACATGAATAAAAACAGGTGAGATGAGATCTAAATAAGCCCATAAATAATGACTAATTATAATAGCTAGACAAGAGAAGTATAATCGTTATCTCTATTTTATAAATGAAGAAACTGAGACATAAGGTTAAAGTAATTTGCTGGTAAATGGTGGTGTCAGGATTTGAATCCAGGCTCCAGGGTCCACTTTTTCAATCACCATACTAAACCACATCTTTCAAACAAAACAAAGTCCGTGCGTTTATATAATTTACATCTAGTACATTTTTAAGTTTGCATATATTTATACTTCTGGAAATAGATTCAGTACGTTGTCTTCTACCTAGTGTGTTCTTTTTCCTTTAGACATTAACAAGAATGGAAAACATCAGTTACTGATAAGTTACTAACCATTTTCACATATTAGATATTCAAAAAAGTAAACAACTGTTGTTTAAAAATATTTACAATATATAGCAATACCCTGCCTCTGACATATGACTGCCATTTTGAAATGACCACTGTACAAAAGCATATTACGATAAAAATACATGCACACATACATAGGAATACTACTTTTTTTGTATTTTATTTTTAATTTTTTACTTTTTTTATTATGTTCAATTATAGCCAACATATAGCATATCATTAGTTTCTGATGTAGTGTTCAACTAGCTACTTTCTTAAAAAGAAACTGCACCATTAAACAATTATACCAGATACTGAGATAGTGTGCAAGAATTTTGAAATAATAATTACATACCTAATTTTTCCCTGTTCTGTCAAGTCTCCATCACTATGCAATATTGTAGTTAACAATCTTAAGGTAGACGTTCCTGATTTACTGTGATTATTTTTCATTCCAAGGAGCCATCGAACCATCATTTTAATAGCCTGAATCTATTTAAAAGACAAATTGACAAATACAACATTACTACATTTTAAAGAAATTCTGTATCAACCTTAAAAAACATGAAATGGTTTTAATGAATGCTTTTTAAGAAAAGTAAAGGAAAAAAGAATCATTCTTTTCTGCATATATCAAGATAACTGGATGTCTTAAAGATGTTTTACCCTCCCACCCAGGCAATTGACAAATGAATGATTTAACTAAAGACTGGTTCTTTTTGTTTTAATGTTTCCCCATCATAAACTCTTATTCTTTAAATTCACAGTAAAATCATGTTAACTTCCCTAGTCAGAAAACTTAATTTCCCAACTGCAAATTATATTCCCATTTTTTGTGCTACATTTTATAATTACGAAGTACTTAAGTACTTCAAACCCTGTTATTGTCTCTCATATTTCCAACAACTCTTTTTGATGGGATGCATATTACCTCTTTTTCACATATTATCGTAGCTTTTTACAGATCTATGGCTCAGGAGCTAAGTGTGTCTTGAACAATGGCATGTGGCAGACACTCTTCAGATCCCTTTCTGGGCCATTTGTTAAGCATGAGCTTAACTGCAGGAAGCCTGCCTTCTAGTCCAGTGCTTGACTACACAAAACTGCTGCTTGACACCAATGCTGAGAAAACAGGTTTATACTGGAACTCAGAAGCATCAAGCATCATTCCATCAGCTACTCTATAGGTCTACAGAAACAGTATTAGAATCTGAAGCTGGAATAGCATGACAAAGTAGTTCCTAATATGAAATATAAACCAGTATACACATACATACACAATATGAATGGATTTACATGAAACTACAACTAGAAAAACAGTATTTAATGTATTTGTTCCTGGCCTACACACCTTGGACAGTGGATTGAAATGAGGTCTATGTCAGAGACTACAGATCATTTTAGTAAATCAATACTCTCTACACTAGCGATAAGCAGTCTTTTATGTATTACTTGTAATTCAAGGAATAACAGGTTGAACTTTTTAAAAATCAAAATAAAAAATTTTATCAAATCCCATGGAAAAGATGAATAGTCTTAAAACCTAGATAACCATCTTTGCTGAACAGGAGATGCACACAAGAAAATCAGAAACGTCTTTTGCCATTAAAAGGTTGATAGCTAAGAAGCAGCAACATGGAGGCAGTTTCAAACACTTTTTTTTCTCCCCAAGTCAGATTATGTGCAACTGCCCATAGGGCCCCAGGTTTCTCATTATTGCCCTATACTCTCAGAGTACATGGAATGATGTCATACAATAAATATAAAACTTGGATGATTTTAATAGCCATATCTTTACAACAGGAACAGAAATTTTAACACCTTTAATGATAATACAATCTAATGAGTATATTAAAATAAATAGATCTATGCATATTACTCACTTTGACCATTGTCTCAGGAGAAACTTCTTCATCTGGAACCCAAAGCTTAGTTGTCTTTTTTCCTGGGAGCTAAACAAAAATGAAGAACTTTAAAACATATTTATGTTCATAAGAATGTTCATCTTTAATTAATTTTTAGTGAATGAATATCTTTACCTTCTGCAGGGATAGTCATTACAGATGACTAAAATACCTCATCTATTTCTCAAAAAGGTTCAAAGATTTATCTTCACTAACACCCACATAAAGCACTTACACATCCATCAGCAGTTGGTTCTTTTCAGGTGTGAGGTAGGACTGACTTTAACCTCTTATATATACTTCCTAACTTAGCCTTTGAAAATAATGATTCAATTATTTAAGGCGGCTGGCAAGGAGTAGGATAAAAATCAACACAATCAAAAAGCATAGTTCTTAAACAAGGAAAAAGGCATATACAAAATATCTTGAGCAGAAGAAAAATTAGAAAGATTTGCAGTTGACTGTAGGTAAGAAAGAAGATGCATTAGTATCTTCCTACCTAAATCCCACCAAAATGGCAACACACACACACACACACATACACCGGAGGGCTGGAAAACAAAAAGGTCCAAAAAGAAGACCAGAATCTTTAGAAAATTTTTTAAAACACAAAATATACAGTAAAAATATTAACAGGGCTAGGTTTATATCTCCATAAAAAGCACAGAAAGGAAACATCCTCCAAAAAAGTTAGATTTTTTTTTTCATCACAATCACAGAATAATCCTGAGATGATAGAGTGCAGGTATTTCAAGATGTACATTTACAGTGGCAGCCAGGAAATTAAAGTAAGGTGACAAAAGAGCTGAACCCAATCTTGGAACACTGGAGATCCAGTGTACCGCCAGCTGACAGGAGTGATTTCCAGAGGCAGCCTAGGAAACAAATCAAATAGCAGCTCAGGTAACCCTCTGGCAACAGGATACAAAGCCCCAACATCCGGAAGGCAAACTCATGAAACACATATAACTTAGGATGCGCTTCCTTTCAGAACTGCCTTCAAAGTAAAAAGTGGAAATAATGAAAAAGCAATCACATTAGTAACATTCTGATGAAATTTCTGAACTAAGTATATTAAAAAGATCCTGAAAGATTCCATGGGGGAAAAGAAGCGGGAATCAGATCAACTTCAGATTCTCAGCTGCAAGACTAGATGCCAAAAAACAATGTTCTGGATTTTCTGCAGCCAAGTACCCTGAAACACAGGATTCTAGTACTCAAGAATAAGGAAAAAAATATTTTTAGCAAGCTAGGACAGAGAGAAAGTTTCCAAATTATAAGCCATTTTGAAAGAATTATTCAAAGATATACTCCACTAAAATATTTAATTCATAAGAAAAAATTCCATCAGTATATATTACAAAATAGAAAAAGTTATTATAAATAAAACCAACAGACTATCAGATGGTTCAAAAAATAATATAAAACCAAAATAGATGCAACAAAACCAATGACAGAAAATCTAAAAATAACAGGATGAAAAAATATACTAGTCAAGATAAAAAACATGAAATGGAATATGGATTTAATTAACAGGATATTGAAGTATTTTTTTAAATCTTACACCACAATAAGATATAAAATTCATGAACATTTGGACAACCAGAAGAGTATCAAAATAAATCAAAACAAAAATGATTAAAAAAAGAGTAAAGATAGAAAACTTCACTACCACAGTGACTTGAATATACCACTTCCAAAAAAACTGATAGATGAAGTTGAGATGAAAAAATGGTAAGTAGAGGAAGCACACATAGAAATATAAGGAAATTAATATAGAGATAAAATATTCAAGGATTAGAAAATAATCAAAACTGGCATTCTTTTTTTAAAAAGATTTATTTTATTTTAGAGGGAGAGAGAGAGAGAGAACACGTGTGTGCATGTGTTGGGGGCAGGGGCAGAGAGAGATGGAGAGAGAGTCTCAAGCAGACTCCCCGATGCGGGGCTCGATACCATAGCATAGCAACTCAGGTAACTCAGCTACTGCTTGAGTGCAGAGCCCGATGTGGGGCACGACACCCCGACCCGGAGATCATGACCTGAGCTGAAACCAAGAGTTGGAAACTCAACTGACTGCATCACCCAGGCGTCCCCAAAATGGCATTCTTCAGAAATAATTAAAAATAAGGAGAAAAAAGTTTAGCAAGAAAGATGGATAGAAGATCAAAACTATAAAATAATTCTCTAAATCAACCACAAACATAAAAATGTAATTTAAAAAATCGAAGTACCTAGCTAGCAAAGTTGTACAAGAAAAATTTTTAAATTTTCTTTACAAAGAAAATTACAAAACTTAAAGACATCTTGTAGATGAGCAAACAAAGCAATGGTAAAGAACAGAGGCTATACACCCTATGACTGGTAACAATGCAGAGGACTGAAAGAAAGAGGTTACTCAATAACTTTTGATGGAAAATTTGGTTGTCCTATGGGAAGTAAAAAGAAATGAAATCCTAAGTTACAGCATACAAACAAACAAATCAATTCCAGATGGATTAAATTTTTTAAGTGTGAAAAGAAAATCTTAAAACTTTTAGAACATATGGGAGACTATTTTTATGACACTACAGTAGGGAAGGATTTCTCAAGGATGTAAAAAGCACTAACGACAAAAGAAAGGAATGATAAATTTAGCTACGTTAAAATGAATAACTTTTGTTCAAAGGACACCATAAAAGGAGTAAAAAGACACACCATAAATGAGATTTTATGCATCTTTTATGAAGCTATTGCAACATATACCTGAAAAAGTATTAATGTGTGTAAAGATTACCTATGAGGAAAAGACAAAAAGCTCGGGAAAAAAGGCAAAAGACCTCAAAAGGAATTTCATAAAGAGGCAACATGAATGGTGACTAGACATAAAAACTTAATCAGTAACCACAGAAATGTAAATTAAGACTATAATGAGACACTATTTTCCAACTTTTAGATGGGCAAAAATTAAAAGATCTGACACTAATGGGTACAATATACTGCTAATAAAAAAATAAGTTTTAACAATGATTTTGACAAGTAATTCAGGAATAAAACGAAAAGTTAAATGTGTCTAGACACTGTATTCATCAATTTCCTTGTATAAATATAACCTAGAGAAATTCTTGCTCATTTGCATCATGAGGCCTCTCTAAGAACCTTCCCAGGAGCACTGTTCTAAAGAAGAAAGAAATGGAAATATTCCAAATGTCCACTAAGAGAATAAATATAAGAAATTTCACACGTGATATATAATACAGAGTAATGAATCACACACAGCTAGATGCAATAACAAGGGAGGGTTATTCTAAGAAACAAATGTGTAATGATAAAGGCAAGTCAGCCAAGAATATATATGGTGTAACTCATAAACCTCAAGAATAAGCAAAACCAAAACAAGTATGTTACTCAGAGACATGTATGTGCTAAAGTGGTGTTCTGTTCTAGTTGGGGAATAATAAATCCCAATTCAACACAGTAGTTACCTGGGCAGAGAAGAAACAGAAAGAAAAGTTTGGAGAGTAATAAACCAGGAGCTAACAGTTCATAAATGTTCACTGTATTATTATAAAACAAGTTACACAAATGTTAAATATACATTCCTTTGTACATATCAAATATAACATTAAAATAAGACAAATTAATGGGTTAAAAGAGATGAAAGTTCTGTTCTGGCAAGAGCTGATTAGGTTTTTTGAACCTATCTTCCACTGGGAAAATGGAAAGGCTGGATAAAAGATCTTTTTAAAAATCAATGTGAAGGTGATAAAAGAGCTACCAAAGCAGTGAGAATTTGCAGGGCAAAGTTTCAAAAGAGGAGACAAATCAGGATTTGAGTCGGCGCTAGGACTGCTTTTCTCATACAAACAATAACTGATTCTGAAAGTGAAAGAGACTTACAGGTTGAGAAATGTTTTCATCACTGTTACAGAGCAGGAAGGAAAAAAATTGGAATTCTGGGCCCAATAAAGAACAGAGTCCCTGTTAAACACCCTAGAGTTCTGGGTGGCTCCCTAACAAATATACCCTACACATAAGGTGACCAGAAGAAGAATCAGCCTGTCAAAACCTGAAGCCCAGCTTCCAATCAGTGCATTCTTGCCTGGACCAAACTGATCTGACAATAGTTCCACTACCTGTCAGAAGGAAAAGTCGTCTCTAGAAGAATTACAAAATCATTCAGGTCCTCAAATTATTTGTAACATTTTTCATATGCAAAGTCTACCATGCAGTCAAAAATAACATGTGTGGGTGCCTGGGTGGCTTAGTCGGTTAAGAGTCTGCCTTTGGCTCGGGCTGTGATCCCAGGGTCCTGGGATCAAGTCCCGCATCGGGCTCCTTGCTCAGCGGGGAGCCTGCTTCTCCCTCTGCCTGCTGTTCCCCCTGCTTGTGCTCTCTTTAAAAAACAAAAACAAAAACAAAACAAAAAAAAAGTGTATAAGAAAAGATTTTACCAAAACATAAGAGAAAAGAACAGACAAGACAAAGAGAGCCACAGGAGGTCTAGAAATTAAGGCTGATATAAACTTTAACTTAATTAAAGAAGTTCAAGAATTAAATGACAAGATAGAGAATTCTGGCAGGGAACTAAAAGCTATATTAAAAACTACAAAGAAATTATAAAATTGAAATGTAAGTGTAATTAAGAATTCAACACATGGGCTTAACATGGGATTAGACAAATATGAAGAGTGAATTAGTAAATTCAAATGCAGGTCAGAAGAAAACAAAAAATGATACATGAACATGGAGAAAAGTACATAAAGGTGTCAAACAGCTGGATCACAGCAAAAGAAATTGTATGTTTTGAGTGTATAATTAGAACTGCAGTAAGAGAGGAAAGAGAACATGAAACAAAAACCATTCGGAACATCAAAACTATACATTCAAGAAGAACTACAAGCCCCAAGTAGGATAAATACAAAGAAAAGCACACCCAGACACATCATTGTGAAACTGGAGCCAATGCAAAATAGAAAAGATTATTCAAAGCAAAAGGAAAACCTTCAAAGGAACAAGACTCTCAGCCGATTTCAAGAGAAAAGATAAGAAAATGAAAAATAATGGTA